CCCACATATGCTATCTGCCTGCACTGCTGAGCCAAAACCAGACAGAGCAAGGGAACAAAACACATCAGCACCACGAGATTGCTGATGCATCTCTGCAGGCACCACCCCCTTGCCCTTGCTCCTCCTCAGCCTGGCACCAGTGGAAGCGTGCCCAAAAAGAAGTCCCCCTTTCACTCCAAAGTCCCTGTCCCCCAGAAGCAGAGGCAGGCCACCCTGGAACAGTGGGGGAAAGGCAGACAGAAAGCTGGACGCATTGCAAAGGTGAGCAAGATCACCCAGACCACTGGGGAGATGCTTGCTGTGGATGGCCAGCCCTTTTCCTTAGCTGAGCAGCCAGGGTTCAGGCCGCTCATGGCACTCGTGGCCCCATCACACCAAGTTCTCTCTGGGGATTGCCACCTTGTAATGGTGGAGAGGCTTGCATGTTCCAATCATCCTGACAGCAATGCCATTGGGAGCTTTATGGTCCTGGTAGGGTCACTCATAGTGGCAAGGTCAAGGGGAGGTTTCCTGATTAAGAGTGATCTAAGAAGACCTCAACAGCAGACCAGGTGAAAGAAAGTGTAACTCCCTTTTCAGTGACTGTGAAGGCAGATGAAGGCTGCAGCAGATCAAGGGTCTCCAATTGTCTTGGATTCCATGCCATTGGACTTACATCCCTATCTGTTAAGGACCGTGCGTTTGTTGGCATGCAACAACATCCTCATGCTAAAAGAAGTCATACATAGGCACCTTCCTTATGGGAGCAATACATCTCTGCACAACAGGAAAGTCCTATGGCAATCAGCGAGTTGCAACAGGGATAGGACTGTGAGATTTGGAAGTTCCTAGTCATGGGCTGGCACATAGGCAGTGGGTGTTTTACTTCAGTCATCTTGTTTGAGGACAGAGGCAGTAAAAGCAGTTCAGCAGCTGCACCTACGACTGAGCAGTCCTATTTAGGATCTGCTCTGCTCACCCCACATGGGGAGAGGGCTAGAAAAGGTGCCTCAAACATAGTCTGTCTCAATCAATTCCTGGCTGGATAATCACATCAAGTGGAATCACCTCTATGTGGTCACAAAGAAACAAAAATGATTTTCGGAACCTGGAACATATGAACCTTAAAAGACTATGCAAATAGTGATTGCCTCAAGCAAAGGACAGCAATTATCTCTTGTGAACTGAGGAAGTTCAATATCACCATTGCTGCCCTATTTGAAACTTGACGTGCTGGAGAAGGACATCTGAAAGAAGAGGGTGGAGGATACACCTTCTTTTGGAGAGAGAGAGCAGAAGAAGAGCCACAGATACATGTAGTTAGTTTTGCCATCAAAAACAAACTTGTGAACTGACTCTCAGAACTCCCAATTGATGTCAATGAATGCCTCATGACTCTCTGTCTGAAACTCACCAAAAACCAGAAGGTGATAATTGTGAGTGCACAAGCCCCAACTGTCAATGCTGATGAGATCATGAAGGAGAAATTCTACTCACACCTTAACACCATCCTCTCAAATATCCCAAGGGAAGATAACATCATCCTTCTTGGAGATTTTAATGCCAGAGTGGGAAGAGACTCAAAACTTTGGAATGGTACTATCAGAAAAGAAGGCATTGGGATATTCAAATGCTAATGGGGTCCTTCTCCTGATGAAGTGTGAAGAACACAGCCTTGTCATCACAAATACCCTGTTCCATCAAATGAACAAGTTCAAGACATCCTGGAAACACCCTAGATCAAAACACTAGCATTTGATCGACTATATGATTGTTTGGACTCGCCAGGATGTCCTGATTATGAGAGCCATGACTAGCACTGAGGACTGTTGGACTGTCCACCGCCTCATTCATCCCTGCATGTCCATCAGGATTGCTCCTAAATGAAGAATGCAAAGGAAGCAGATCAGGCGCAAGTTTGAGTGCTTGAAGGACCCACTCAAGCACAGGCAACTCCTGAATGAGACACTACAAACAGAGCACCCAGAAGGAGTTGAGGAGCACTGGATGGGACTCAAGACCGGTTCTCTCATTCTGTGAAAATATTATAGGATACAAGACCAGGAAACATCAAGACTGGTTTTGACAAAAACGACACTGAAATTCAAGGTCTCATCGACAAGAAAAATGCACACTGACAAGCAAAATCAGAGGTGCGGAGGAGAACATGAGAATTGAAGAATGAGTGGTGGATTCAGAAATCAAAAGAAATCCAACATTTTGCTGACATCCATGACATTCATGGCTTCTTCACTGCTACCAAAGCTGTCTATGGCCCTAGCACTCAAGGCTTTAATCCTCTAAGATCAAAGGATGGAACAACACTCCTGAAAGACAGCAAATCCATCAATGCTCGCTGGAAAGAACATTTCCAGGACCTTCTGAATCATGACTCAACTGTCGATGAAGATAAGATCACCAACTTTCCACAAAAAACAATCAGAGAAGACCTTGGTTTGCTGCCTACCCTGGCAAAGGTCAGGAGTGCTATCAGGAAAATGAAGAATAACAAGGCAGCTGGTGCTGATGGAATACCTGCAGAGATTTTCAAAGGAGGAGGAAAACAACTTACATGTCAGCTTCATGTCCTCATCCTTAAAATCTGGAATGAGGAAGAAATCCCAGCCGACCTAAGGGATGCCTTGATTGTTACTATGGGACAGAGCTGATTGCGGAAACTATCGAGGCATCTCACTGTTGGCTACTGCTGGGGAAGTCATCGCCCATATCCTCACTAACTGCCTTCTCCCACTTGCGGAAGAAATCCTTCTAGAATCTCAAAGTGGCTTCAGACTATTGTGAAGATCTGCAGACATGATCTTTACAGCTAGTCAAATCCAGGAGAAGTGTCGTGAGCAAACCAAAAGTGGTTTGTAAATTCCCTTTGAGGATCAGGCCTGAGAGACCAGAGCCATGTAGTTGGGTGTTCTTGTCTTTGATAGATTTTTGGTGTGCACTCATTCTGATGTACAGACTTGGTGTCTCCTACGTACTTTCCATCAGGCCTGATGGAGATATGTATTGTGAAGATATCTCCATTATGGAGATATTGTTGGTAGGTGTTACATGTCTTATCGTGGCATGGTCTGGATCCATTCAGTGTGTTTTGGGCTGTAGGAAGCTGGCTTCTGGTGATGAGGTTAGTGAGGTTCAGTGCTTATTTGAATTTACAACCCACTTTTCACAGATGAGCCTATGAATTGCACTTCATCAACCTCCTGGGTACAGAAACTCATGGACTCAATATAGACAGTGGAATTTTGACACACTACAACCTGCCTGACATCTGACACCCCAGGTACCTCTCCATTTTTACCTGCTACATTCCCCTTCCCCACAACCCCAGCCTGTCTCTCACCCCTTGATGCTTCCATTTCCATTTTCACTGACTGGCTCTCTTGCCTGCATTGCATGCCAGCCTCTGGCTGCTTTACTATTCCTTCCATCCAGGAAGAGCACACACACCAACCGCAGGTGCTTCTTCAGCCTGACGAAGGGTTTTTTAACCTGAAAGCTTGCTAAGATATATTTCTCCAACTATTCAGTTGGTCTACTAAAAGATACCAGATTGACCCAAAGAACCTTGTCTGCCAGTGCCATGTCTTTAGACCAACCCCCTTAGCACCTGTCCCTGGTTAGCTGACCAGGAGGCAGGGCCCTGGGCACATCTAAGCCCCAGGGCTAGGGCTGGCAGGGAGAGTGCTCTGGCAGCTGCAGAAGAAGCTCCTGCAGGAGAAGAAAGAAACGCTGTCACAGTTTGGCTGCCTGAGATGCTAATGCTACTGTGCTGCTTACTTACCTGTTGTTATTTAAAGTGGTGGACCAAAATGAGGCTGTAGGGGAGGAAGAGACTTCATTGGGGCACACTACCACGTCATGTAGAGACCCCAGCACCAGTGAGGGTGCACCTTACACACACACCAAGTGACACACCACAAGGTTGCCTGAGGTGCAGTTTCCCAGAAACCCCTACACCTGTCTCCTTGAAACCTGGCAGGCTTCATGGTCTCATAAGGGGCTACCATCCCTGTGGTTTTCACCCCCTGCCCTTCAGTTACAAGTGACACAAATTTTGCTCAGAACAGTGTGAGGTGCGGTTTCCCCCAAACCCCTGCACCTACCTCCTTGAAACTTGACATGCTTTGTGGCCTCAGCAGGGGCTATGTGCTGTGCTGTCTTCATTCAAATCAGGCGAAAAAGGACACTTATAGGAATGTTTTGTGAGTCCCCATTATAGCCAACGGGCGAAACGTTGAAGTGCGTCAGCGTTGAACAGTGAAACAGTTTTGACAAAATGAAACAGAACCGCGCTTTGAAAGGAAACGTCTAAATGAAACACTGACCCTTTGAAATGGCGAAACGAAACTGAAACGAAAAGGTGCTGTTTTACACAGCCCTAATAGACGCCCCCCAGAAGTGGCGCAAGCACCTACTCCAGATAGCTTTGAGAAATGCCTGGACACCTATCTTGCTGGGGTCACCTGACCCCAACTGACTTCCTGCCCCTGGGGCAGGACCCGATGATCTGGCAAGGTCCCTTCCAGCCCTCATGTCTATGAAATCTAGGTAAAAGTCCCCAGTCGCCCGGGGGAGGTCGGCGGACCACAGGCTGAAAAGAGAGAGCGTGAAGGGAGGGCGCCTGTTTCTCAGCCTGGTTAGATTCACGGCGCCCCTCCCTCAGAAAATGCCAGCTTGCGTTCAGGGATGTGTATTGTAGCCACGCTGGTCTAAGGACACAGGCAGACAAGGCTCTCTGGGTAAATGTGGTCTCTTCATTTTAGTTGGTCAGATTTACCAAACGAATCGTCGGTTTATTTTCACATTTTGACAGAAAAGCAACAGAGGCGGGCAGCCGCCTGCGGCACAGGCTTCAGAACAGCACGGCCTGCGGGCTGCAGCTTCGGAGCCGTGTTTGCAAGTCGAACAGCGTCCAACTGCGGCCGCGTCAGCCCCCGCCCCAGGGGAGGGGCCGGTGCGCGAGGCCCCACCCACTATCGAGCCCTTGTCTCGGGCAGGGAAGCGCGGGTAGGGTAGGAGGGAGTCGTCACGTGGAGCGGGGTTAGGGAGTCCGCATTTTCCGGTCTCCCCTACAGAGACGCACTTCCGCCGCCGGCGGCGGTGACTTCCGCTTTGTCACTTCCGCCGCCTCCCCGTTTCCTGCCCGGCTGTGGGGGGCCGACGACGCGTGGCCTGTCCCTGCGAGCGCGCGCGGTCTCCCCTTCCTGCCGCCGCCCGCTCCAGCCGACCCCGCTCTCCCGCTCGCCGCCGCCATGGCGATGCGGCAGACCCCACTGACGTGCTCGGGCCACACGCGGCCCGTGGTGGACTTGGCCTTCAGCGGAATCACCCCCTACGGCTACTTCCTCATCAGCGCCTGCAAAGGTGAGGGCTGGAGGCGGGGGCGGCGTTCTTCCGGGCCTGGGGGGGCGCGGCTTGTCTCGTCCTACCCTCCCCGCTCGCGACCAGGCCGCGGGGGGGGGGGTGTCTCCTTTCTTCCTTCTCCCCGTGTCCTATACGAGGCATGGGTAGGGGTCACGGTCAACATGGTGGGGGGAAGGCCAGGCCGTAGCTGCCCCATTGGTTAGGGCAATGGGAGGACGTGGGCGGCTGCTTTCCACTTGGGCCCCAGAGGCCCAGGTCCTGCTTGTGAGGAAAGTTCTGTTTCTGTCCTGGATTTGGATCTGATGGGAGGACCGCAGAGGTGCCTGCCCACCCGTGCCTGCCTTCAGAATAAAGTGTCTGTGGCTTGACACCACTGCCGGGATTGCAGTGCATTCATTGCAGCAAATGGCCTCTTTATCTTGTCCCTGATTTTCCCCTGGGTACAACTTTCTTTTGTATCTTTTTAGGATACTATCCTTTGCACATACTCATTGCCTTGACCAAATAATCGTCTTCCTTAAGAGGACCCTCTATGTCAGTGGTCACCAACCAGTGGATCTCAATCCACTGGTTGATCTCGGAGGCTTTTGGAGCCAATCCGAGGCTGGGGTGGGGTGGGGGGCTGAGTGCCTGTGTGCATGCATGTGCGTGCCCTAGCCCAGCAGGTCAATCCATGGGGGAAGGAAGGGGTGGGGGCTAGATCGAGGCCCCTGAAGTGAGGGACAGTGCCGCAGAGGCAGGAGCAGCAGTAAGTTGAGTGTAGTGGGTGAGTTCTTTAGATCTGTTAGTCATTGTTAAGTACATTTATTTTATCTGATTGTTAATCTTTCTTTTTCCCAAGATGGCAAACCTATGCTACGTCAAGGTGACACAGGAGACTGGATTGGAACATTTATGGGTCATAAAGGTGCCGTATGGGGTGCCACTTTGAACAAGGATGCCACTAAAGCAGCTACAGCAGCTGCAGATTTTACTGCGTAAGTAATTAACCATGTCTAAAATTTGACTGTATTATGATTTCAGTTTGCAATCCTAGAATTTTGTAATTTTTTTTTAAAATGCAGTTTCTGCATTAAATATATTTGCCTTTCTTACACACCTGGCCGATTTACAGAGACTTGTATTAAAAAGTATAGAAAGTGAGGTTGTTGATATTTGTGGTAATACAGTAATGGTAGTTAAACTGTAGAGATGGCTTAATGGATTACTTTTATGGACATAGACTAATAACATAATTGTCTACCAACAACAATTTTAGATAGCCTCTAATCTTTTGTGTTGCAGTTATATCGGATGCTAAAGTCTTCTAGAAGTATGGGGTTTTTTTGTTCTTTTAACTGCCATTTCTCACTTTTTTTCCCATTTGACTTCTGGTACCTACTGTCACTTAATTTTTCTCAAGTTAAATTATTTTCTTGTAAACTTGCTAAATATTTACATGCATGCTTAATGTTTTTGTATACACAATTTTCTTAACTTTGTTCAGACTACTCAGAGTATGTGTATAATAGTTAATAAGAATGTGAGTGCAGATCATGTACAAGTGATTCATAATTTTAGGCAGACACATTTTTCAAACCTACTACTAAAGGGAAAAGGGCTGTTTATTTTGGAGTGGTACAAAGGAATTAAAGAAATGGAAATTCTAAGGCAGACAAGGTTCTTTGAGTGAATTTGATATCTTTTATTAAACCAACTTAAATAGTTGGAAAACAATTATTAAGCAAGCTTTCGGGTTCAAAAACCCTTCGTCTGGATAAGGAAGTTTCAGTAGTTGGTATGTACTCTTTCTTGTCTGCTTATGTCCTTAGACCAACACAGCTACAACCTACACCCCTGGAAATTCTGAAGTTTTCGTTCTTAAACACTAAGCATTTCTACTGTTGGGCTTTACGTGTTACCAGAGTGTAGTAGTTATGTATAACCACTACATTATGTTCTCAGGAAAATCTTGCTGCAACCTGAATAGCCAGTTTAGTTGCAATGCACTTAGTAGTAACTATACAACTGCATTTGTACTGTCTTTCAGCAAAGTATGGGATGCTGTTTCAGGAGATGAACTAATGACATTGGCTCACAAGCACATTGTGAAATGTGTGGATTTTACTGAGGTACTGTTCTCTTCCCTTTCAAACCCCCACTTTTTCCCCTAGGGAGTGAAACTCTTGGATATAGTTAATTACTGCGGCCCTTATTTCCTTATGCTTATTTTCAATGGAAGGTTCATGTTAACTGCTCTGTGTTTCGAAGGGATAAATTAAATATAACGTATGCTGTAGTAGATTGCCTGAAAAATCATCCCGCGTTTTAACTGTAACCCACATTTCCAGTTGAGAAACCTAACTCTAGTTTTCTGCTATTTTAGGACAGCAATTATCTGTTGACTGGTGGACAAGATAAATTGTTGCGTATTTATGACTTGAGCAAGCCAGAAGCAGGTAAGTCTGCTTTTTAAATCTTCCCACTTAAAGTTCTTTTTTTTTTTTTTATTGTTATACAACTGGCTTTGAAAATGATCAGATCTGCTGAATTTCATGAATTACAAATATTGGGAGTCTTGTTTTTCCCAGTTAGTAGTCATGGAATTGAGACAAATTCCTATAATAATAGGACATACTGGAAATCTCTAGCAGCCTTCGAGTTTCACTGCTCTTAAATCCTATGCTCTTTTCAATCAATATTAGTTTGATTTGAAGGGTTTTATTTTAGTTGTCAAAACTTCTGAAATTACCTATTCCAGGTGTTTGCTTGGGCTCTGTTCACATCTTGCAGTTATGTGATTGGTAACTGTTACATTGATTATCATAAGGTACTTTTGAATTGCCCACAGTATTTTTAGATTACATTGGCCTTGTCACTGCGCAGTAAAGTTGCATTGGTTCAACTTAAGATTTTTCAGTAGCTCAAACCTGTGTCCACTCTTCTGTTCAAGGGGCTCTAATTTCAGTTTTAATTACACATGTTCATAGTGGACTTGAGCTAAATCAAATAAGTTGCTCTTAACACAAAAGCAAATGTCCATGCATAGTTTATACAACTCTAACTAATTCTGTTACTGAACCTAAACCAGTGCAATTTCTCTAAGGGTATAGGAATAGCCTTAACATTTAAAATGCTTCAAAGTGCAGCTGCAACTACATGGAGGGAGTGCGAATGGAGCTGAAGTCAATGAAGGCTGTCCTATCCACCTCACACTTGCTCTCCTGGAGTGCTTCCCAATTCTGCTGCCCCACCAGAGGTGGGGAAGGAGTGCAGTTATGGGGCTGGAGATTAAGAATCCTGGCTCTGGTGCAGAGCGCTCACAAAAGCGCTCACTGACACAATCCTGATCTCCCCCCTGCCCTTCCTGTGGGAATGTGGGGGTAAGGGGACAATCACTGCTGGAGGAACCAGGGGGTTTCTTGTCATATTTTTCTAGACCGTGTATATGTAACAGGAATAATTTCATTTTTAAGTGCTCCTAAATAGTTCTTGCTTCCCTCAGGGTTATATTTGGAGGTTTCCAAAGGATGTGTATATCTATTTATATCCTAAGTTTTAAAAAAAAAAAAAAAGAAAACTCTAGTTTTCTCTCACCCTTACTCTTTAAATTCAGGATAAAAATTCCAAATACTGTGACAGTATCTTTCATCTTTACTCTCAAGGCTGGTTGTTGATTTTTCCCCCCCCCCACTATTAATGATTAGCTACATGCACTTATAAATAGTGATTTGAGTCATGAGACTCTTTCCTTTTTCTTTTGTTTTATGTACTAAAATACTTGCTTTCATCTTCAGAACCTCAGGTGGTTAGTGGACATAATTCAGGCCTTAAAAAGGCTTTCTGGAGCAGTGATGACAAACAGATCCTTTCAGCTGATGATAAAACTGTCCGGTAGGAAACAGTAACTTTCATACTTATGAAATATTTATTTTATTTCATCATGTAATCAGGTTGCAGTGCAGCTAATTTAAATTTAAACCCAAGTTATGCATTTTAATGATCAGGCTTTTTTTTGGTGTAGTTGGAGTATATAAACATAGCTGGTAAAAAAAAAAAAAAAAAAAAAAAAAAAAAATCAAGTTGTACAAAATCCCTGATTATTGCTTGCATATGTGGTGGCATTGCATTATATCTTGAACCCTTCTTAATATTCAGTTCTATAATGAGAATTGATGAGAAATGTTAAGTGTGTGTTTTTTATTTAGCTCTGGTATGCCAGTTAACTAAGAGGTGAAATTGTTTTGTTGCCATCTGATTTTTACATGTTGTGTCTGCCATCCAGCAGTTCTTAGGTTTCTCTGGTGTATATGCCTAATGTGTCATAGTGATGAGAAGTGGGGAAAGCATTGGATTGTTACAAAGAATGTATCCCTATCTTTAATTACTTGATTTTTGCCTCTTGGGTAGATAGGAAATCCCCCACAAACCTTGTGTCAGCTGGAAAGGGGGAGGTGTTGTTCACTCCCCCCCCCCCCATATTGTAAGCTGTGAGAATCTACCACTTCCTCAGTTTTCTGGCTGCTGTGGCTAGGGTGCTGTCTTTGCTATAAAACCCTTAGTCCTTTATCAGTTGTAGTGTTAAGGTAATAGATTTCTTCTGTTTTATTCCAGCTCCCGGTGGAAGGATTTGAAGTTATCTTCCCTTCCTGACTCGATTTAAGCTGTGTCAGCAAGTGACAGTTTCTTGTCAGTTTTAGCAGCACACCAAATAGGCCAGAACCTGTTTTTTAATCCCTGCTGAATCTTGGCAAAGATAGGAGCAGCAATGGCAGAGGCCCTGGGTCTGTGTGTTTGGCTTGCATCTAGAGGACTATCCTAGATATATTTAGAAAGTTAACTTACCTTAGATATTATGCTTGTATTGGTCTTAATTCCTTTGGAACTGACACGAAAATGCTGTTGGTTTGCCAATGATGAAGTTGAGCAAGACTTTTTAGCTTTGTCACTAGAAACCTGTATTGCTTAGGAAACTAGTCACAGTGCACAGAATTTTTAACACTATAGGTGACTGGTGGCAATACCTGAACAGCTTTAAAGTAGGGGTGTGCTGATAGAGATTTTTGGGGGCCGAAACTGATAGCCAATTTTTAAGGAGGCATATCAGGGGATACCTATCTGATTTCCAATACACAGCTCTTCAGCTTGTAAGTCTGGTGTGGTGGAAGGGGTATGCGGGAGGCAGATCAAAGCCCCTGCAGTGAGGGAGGGAGTGAGGCTGGGGCAGGTGCTGCCTGATGGGTGGGGAGGGGCACAGGACAGAGCTGCAAGTGGCTCATCTAGGGGGGCAGTGGGGGGACGTGCCCCCCAGATCTGTGCGGGGTGGGCTGGGGCCGGGGAGGGGGCAGGACAGAGCCGCTGCTTGTTCAGGGGGTGCAGGAAGGGAGGGGGAGAAGCTCCTGCCCCTGCATACAGTTTGTCTGGTGCTTGTCTAT